GGACAGTGTCCGTGTGTCCCAGGACAGTGTCCATGTGTCCCAGGACAGTGTCTGTGTGTCTGTATGGGCTGTAGCTGCTCACCACAGGGAAGGACAGTGTCCATGTGTCCCCGGGACAGTGTCCGTGTGTCCCCAGAGCAGTGTCCGTGTGTCCCTAAATCGGTGTGTCTGTGCGCGGAGCCGTGTCCCTGCGTGACCGTTTTGCAGTTCCTCCCCCGCGGGAACAGCAGTGGCCTCGTGTCCCGAGGCCGGGCAGCCTCACAGGGACGAGGGCAGGGATCCCAAAGCAGCCCCTGAGCGGGCGCGTGACGCGGCCCTGTGGAGCAACCCGGCTTTATCTCCCTTTCTGCTGATCTCTCTGAGTCAGGCTGCAGTTTCACATGAACCTTCAGCGCTCTCCGCAAAACGGCGTTCCCTGCGACCGGGAGGCCTTTCCCACCCGAGCACTTTGGGGAAATTCACTTTGGGGAAATTCAGCCGCAAATGGTAGCCCGGCCGTTTGCAGAAACGGTGGCTTTTGGCAAAATAAACACCGCGTCCAGGAAGCCGCGCTGCGGGCTCTGACCACAGCGCCTGCTCAAAGCAGCCACACGGGGAGAGGTTTCCATGCCCGAGGAAAACGGCCTCGAACGGTGTCACCGGGCATCGCCCCGCACTGCTCCGGCAGGGAGAAGTGCCCTGTGACGGCGGGATCCGTGTGAAAATGGCGCTTTTCTCAAAAAGCAGCCTGTTCTTTCCCCAGCAAGGTGGATTTTACCAAACCTGTCCAAGCTCTGGCCAAGCCGGTGGATGCTCCACTGGTGGCACAGCCCGAGCTGGTGTGCAGGTCACCCTTGTGCGTGTCCCTGGGGCCGGTGACTCACCCAGCTCTGCAGGGGAGGAGAAAAAGGAGGGAAAGGAGCCCAAACTTCATGTCTGCGGTGGAGGAGCTCGAAGTCCACGGCTGCTGGGAGTGGAAATTTCCACAGGTTTGGGAATCTGCACACAAGCCCTCTGTGTTTGTAGGGCAAAAAGTTTAACCCTTTCTGCTTGTCCGAATGCGGAGAGCCCTGGGAGCTGGTCGGGAATAACATCGGGAAGGGCTGATCGTGCGGAACTGAGCTCCTACCTCCTCATGCCCTTCGCACCCTCCCTTTTAAGGAGAAATCGGGCATTTCTGAGAAAAATCACTTCTTTATCCTGAGGAAGATGGTCGAAATTACCTGCAAACAGCTGCAAATCCTTTTCAGGAAATAAAAGAAAGCAAATGAAACAAAACAGAGCAAAGCAAAGCAGAGCAAAACAAAGCCAAAAAGACAGCAAAAATCCAGAAGAACTTAATGCAAGAAGCCTGCGCAGCTCTGCAGCCCATCGCCGTGCAGAGGTGCCGCAGGGGGTGGCCGATGGACAGTGCTTTGGGGGGAGATCAGCTTTTCCTCCGCACCACCTCCCTTAAGAAAAACACGTAGAAGTCGTAAGAACATTTTAGAGGGGTGAGTCATTAGAGTGAAAACGCCTGGAGTTTGTGAGCATGGGAGCTTAGGCTTCCCTTGAGACCCGTATCCAGAGGTCTCTGGGCATCCCTTGATGGGCCTTGAGCCTCCGGACAGGAGGAATAGGTGCCGGGGAGGCCTCCCCAGCTCTTGAGCTCGTTTTATTTTACACTTGCAGCAGAGCAGAGGAAACCCGGCATCCTCGGAGAGCAGCGATTCGCTCATCTACTTGGCGCGCTGCGTGTGTGGTTGCTCCGGAGCTGCCGGGCCGAACGGGATGGGGAGCAGCACAGCGAGACAGCAGCCTGCCCGCCGCTGATAACAGCGGGGCCCTCCCTCCGTGCCCGCGCCGGCCTGTGAGTCAGCCTTAAATGGAGCGTGCCGGCTCCTCGGCATGTGCGGGGAAGTTCCCGCACGGCCGGTGGATGACGTGAGCGGCACGGCGAGTCCCACCCAGGCTGTGGCATCGGCATCGGCCGGGCTGGGACGGTCGCCTGGCCTCTCCCTCGCCCCTGTAAAACCGCAGGGCGAGGTTTTGCCGGTGTTGCCGGCATCGTTCGGTGCGGCAACAAAATGCGCCTTCGTTAGGGTAATTCCATAGATGAGGTGGGGGGGATGGACCCAAGCGCTCGTCAGGAGGGTGCTTGGGATGATGCACTGGGGGACAGTGCAAGGCGTGGGGCGAGGCGGGATGCAGCAGCTCTCACCGCGGCGTCCCCTGCCCTGCTCTGTGCAGCCTCCTCCCCAAGGGCTTTGAGCACGGAGGGAACAGGAGTGGCTCCCCCACACGCCAGGGAACCGCTTCCGCTCTGCCCCGTAATTCGGGCTTTGCACTTTCCTACTGACCCCGTTACACAGCCCACGGGTCCAGCCCCACAAGGCGGGAGGTTCCTGCAGACCCATGTCCCCGGCACGGAGGCTGTTCCCCCCATATCCGCGCCTGGCCCTGGGCTCTGCCGGACACCATCCGGGGGAAACACGTCCCACCCTGGTGTGGGGGACCCGCCTGCCCTGCAGCGCGGAGGGGACCCCGCCAGGGCAGGCGGGTGTTTTGTGCGGGGCTGCGGTGCGGTGCGCGGCACCTTGCGCTGCACGAGCCTCCAGAGGACTCCTCCCGTGGCCGGGGACAGGGGGTGTTTGTGTAACTCTCTTTGCTGGAAAACGCCTGTTCTTGCTCCCTCGGGGCGGAGGAGTTGCCCCCATGACAGGGGCGGAAAAAAAAAAGAAAAAAAGGGAAGCGAGAGGAGCCCCCAGGAGCCCCCGCAGAGGCGTCCGTGGTCGTGGGACACCCGAACTCCACGTGCAGCCACAGAAACCGCCAAAAACAAAACCAAAAAAAGAAAAAAAAAAAAAAAATCCAAAGAGCCTTTATACATTGGGGGGGGCGGGGGCACGGCCCCCTCCGCCCCTTCCGCGGAGGCACCTCCTATAGTAGTCACACGGGAGGCACCTCCTATAGTAGGAGGTGCGGCGGGCGCCCCTTCATTCTGCGACGGGGAGCGGAGAAGAGAAGAAGGAAGAGAAGAACCGGGCGGAGCGGAGCGGGGAGCGAGCAAAGCCAGGCTGGGCCAGACCGTCCTGCCCCGTCCCGTCCCGTCCCGTCCCGTTCCCCGCGGAGGGGCGCCAGCCTGTGTCGAGCCGTCCCGGGCCGTCCCGAGGGGTTCCGGACCGTTGCGAGCCAAGCCGGGCCGGGCCGCCCCGTGCCGAGGGGCTCCGGGCCGTTCCGAAGCGGGCCGGGCCGTCCCGCCCCGCCCCGAGCCGCTCGGCGGCCGCGTCCTTCCCGCGCACGATGCTCGTCGAGCCGCGATGGTGCCGCTGATGCCGCTGCTGCCGGTGCTGCTGGTGCTGCTGGTGCGTGGCGGGGACCGGCCCGAGGGCAGCGCCGCCGCCGCGGCATGTCCGGGCTTGTCGCGCTCTCCGGGCTGGGGCTGCCCGGACCGGGGGCTTGGGGGCGGAACGGGGCCCTGCGGCCCTCCCGGCCCGGCCGGAGGAGGGGCTGGGGGTTCCCTTCAAGGGGGTGGTCGTGGGGTGAAAATGCGGTTGGGGTCACCCGTGATGGGGGCTGAGGACAGGGCGGATGGAGGGGTTACCTGTACAGGGGGGTAGGGACCATGGGGGGCTCACCTCGATGAGCTGGGGGCAGGAGCCTTGGGGGGGCACTTGGATGGGTTGGGGGGAGCAATGGGGGCTCTCCTGGTGTCTGGGCTATGGAGGGGGTCTCACCTGCGCAGTTAGTGGCCCGGGAGCCACCAGAGCCATGGGGCCAGGGGGGCTCCCCTGGAGCAGCTGCAGCCGCCTGGGGGGCCGGGGGCTCGGGCAGGAGGGGCCTGGCGGAGGTGCGAGTGTTGGGAGGAGCGGGCGCAGCGTCCCGCTGCAGCACGTGCGCTCTTCCATGGCGCCTGCGTCGCCCTGCGCCCGCGGGAGGGGATTTCCTGCGGCTTCCCAGCATTGTTTGCTGTCCCGAGCTGGGATCCTGTGGCTGCGCACGCAGGAATCTCTGGTTTTACGTGGCCGCCCGGGGCTGCGGGCTGGGCTGCGGGCTGGGCGCTGTCACCCACGCTCCCGGCCTGGGAGACGGCTTGGAGGCACCTGGAGTCTCATCCTGCTGGTGGGAATCCCGTCCCCGGCATTGGGGCTGCCCCCGTCCCTGACGTGGGGCTGGAGCCCGGCTGTGGAGCCCGGCTGTGCCAAGTGCAGGGATTGCTGTGGCCGATGCCTGTGTGTGCCCTGGGTCTCGCTCCCTTTCCTGCTCCTCCTGCGCAGCTCCATGCTCCTGCCTTGTTTCCTGCGTGCTTCCCCAAAGCTGTGGGCATGCGCTGCTCCGCTTCATTGTTTTAAGCAAAGAAAACAGAAGGTGGGGGGGAAAGGGGTCAGGTTTGAAGATGCCTCACGTGATAGTCACACGATGTTAAGGCTGCTCCTCTGCTTCCTCTGCACACTGTGTTGTTGCATCATACCTGGAGTGGGGCCACAGGCTCAGGAAGACGAGGCCTCCCCGTGCCGGAGCTCAAATTCCATCGGCGTAAAGTCTGCGGGAAGCCCCAGGTTCAGCAAACTCGCTCCTTTGGAGCAGAGGCACTGCGGCTGTCCCAAGGGTCTCCTGCTCCTTGGTCCTTAGTGCTGTTGACGGCTGCATTCCCACAGATCGTGGCTCCGCATTCTTAGGCTCAATGTGTTCCCTAGGATCATTTTGGGAGCAAACCCGGGGCAGTGGTGGATGAGGGAGAGTTTGAGGGCTGGCACCCGAAGTCTGGCCCAAGTCTGGTCATTCAGACCAAAAAGAGAAACTTTTACCTTGTTGTCAGCGAGGATGCTGGAAAGTGCAGTGACCGGCCATGCCTTGGCCTTGGGGAGCATTGCTTTCTTTGGGTGTTTGCTGCAAGAACGAGGCTCTCCTGGCACCGTAGCTTGCATGGAACTCGAGTCTTCCATGCAACTTACTCTAAAACTGGCTTTTGTGGTGATATCCCCACCACAGGCGATATCTCCCCAGGCTTTTCTGGTAAAACATCTTCTATGACCTAGACAGAGTCCTATTCTCTGTCTTCAAGTTGCAGATGTGTTTTTTGGGGTTGTTCTGCTGGTTTTTTAGTGTGTCGCTTGCATGTTGGGCTCGGTCCCCAGGGCTGGGGTATGTTGTGGCCGTGCGTGGCCTCTGTCGCTTGGCATTTTGGAGCAAACAAGGGTGAGAGCTGGCAGGAGGCCCCTCCAGCACGTGCTTGGGGTAGAGCGTGGGCTCCAGGCTCTGTGCGGACACGCAGCAGCCCTTGCAGAGCCCCTTCTGCCTGTTCCCTGCCCTGTAAAACCAAGGCCCCCCTCTTGCCCGTGGGCTGGTGCGTGGCGGCGCTTTGCAGAGCGCGCATGGACCTCCCTGCACAGGGCTGGCTGTGCTAGGGCTGTCGAACGTGCTGTGGGCCGATAACGTTATCGGGCACTGGAGCGAGCCCGCGGCGAGCGCAGCAGCGCGGTGCCCTGGGGCCTTTGGAAGCAGCACATGTAGCCGCTGCGGGGGCCCGCGAGCGGCCAGGAAACCTTCCTCCTGCGTGATAAGGAGGGCAGGTTGTTGGCGAGGCCGCGTGCTCTCTGTCCTTGGAGATTTCAAGACCGGAGGGGCAAAGCCTCGAGCCCTGCAGAGGATAAATAAGCTACTGGAAATATTCTGGAATGAATAAGCTACCGGAAAAGCCAGGCTGTGGCTGCAGCTGAATGCAAAGGGAGTTGCCGGAGCTCGGTGAGGCAGCCAGCAGACCTTGTCCCCGCCTTAGGAGGATGGGACGCGGTCCCAGCAGTGGGGTGATGCACCACGTGGGGTGTAGCTGCCTCTTCTTCCAGCGGGTGACTCATAGGAGAAACTTGCTGCAAGGGGCAGGTTCCTGGCGGGCGGGAGTGGGAAGGGAATTTGGTGGTGTGTGGTCCCGAAGGAGCTGGGCCCGGGCAGCCAGGATGCCCTCGAGGCTCCCTCCCTGCTGCTCGCTTCTCTTTGCTGCAGTTGGTTCCTGTGCCCAGAAATTGGGGAAGGAAGGGAGAGCTGCCGCTCTCCTAAGGAAGTGCCAGGGTGCCTTCGCCTCGCTGATAACGCGGGCACCCAGCAGTGCCTCCTGCCTGGGCTCTTGTTTGCTGCACATGCCCCTTCTCTTAGGAATAGTTTTAACCCATTCTTTTTCCTGTTTTTTGACAGGGAGCTTTCAGGGGAACTGCTGCAGTTGCAGTGGGGAGAAGGGACAGTTTGGATCTCTTGCCCTCGAGCAGGGTAAGGGAGGAATTTTACCAGGTCTACGATGGAGATCTCTATTGCAGGAAGTGTCCGGCAGGTGAGAGGTTTGCTGCCTTCGCACTGCCTGCAGCCTCTTGTTTCTGTGTGCAGAACCTGTCCGGCTGCTTGGTTTTGCACCTCTTCTGTATGATGCTTTTTGAGAATGCTAACCCTCTTAATGCACTCTCCAAAGTGGAGGTCTCAACTGCTGTGACTTCTTTCTGCCATCTAAAGACTCGCTGTGTGAATGTTTCCCTTCGATGGTTCCAATTTTGCTTTCTCGCCTCGCTGACAACAGAATTGTCTCCCTCTTTGCCAAGATCCCTCCATCCTATGCTCTGTTCATTGATAAGTCCTTTCCTTCCCCTCCTTTATTGCAGGCACCTATGTTGCAGAGCACTGTAAAGTGCAAAATGGCTCCAGCAAGTGCCTGCCCTGTAAGGAAGATGAGTTCATCGAATACCCCAATGACTTTCCCAAGTGCTTTGGCTGTCGGACCTGCAGGGAAGGTATGAAGCTCGACTGTGTTTCTAGGAGAGGCTCTAAGTGTGTCATGCTCCCCAGGAGCTGATGCTGGCCGATAGCACAGGCCTAGGTTCAGCTTGGAGACCTCTCTTTCAGAGCACGGTTGCCTGCAGCCTCTCCACGGGGCATCTCCGGCTGTGGGTGGTTAGGATTCGAGGGTCTTGGAAGCTGCAAACGCTCATGCAGACCTGCATGTCTCGTCAATTTGTCCCTTGGCCCATGGGGATGTTGTGCAACACTTGAGCGTGACGCATTCAGTGAGGGCCGCTAGGATGTGGCCGTGGAGAGCAGCCCTGCTCCACAAGGGCTTGTTGGCCGTTCTGTACAACTGACTCCCCTGTTGTCCTCAGATCAAGTGCAGCTGAGCCCCTGCACGGCCACCAGGAACACGCAGTGCGGCTGCAGGAACGGCACCTTCTGCTCCCCAGACCATCCATGTGAGATGTGCCAGAAGTGCCGGTCCAGGTGAGCTGGGCTGTGTGGGGAATGTGGTGGGCTGGGCGCTGTGCTGGGAAGGACAAGGCTCCCCGAGGACGCCCAGCACCTGAGCCGTTCCCCCTCTGTGCCTTCCCCAGGTGCCTCGATGATGAGGTGGAGAAGGCTCCCTGCACTCCGCTCAGCGACCGCCAGTGTGGTCCTCCCACGGATACTGCCGCCAGCTCCTCAAGTAAGTGCTGGACTGCCAGGGGAGGGAGGATGGGGTTCAGGGCAGGAGATCTGAGCTGCTGCTGTTAAGAAAAGCAGCAGCAGATCCCAACACACTATTTTTTTTTTTTCTCTAGGTCTATATTGGCTGTGTTTTCTGGTTTTGCCCGTGATAATCTTGCTCCTCATTGGCCTTTGCTGCTACAGACCCAGCTCACGCACAGGTGAGTGCTGGTTGTGTGGGAGCTTGCATGCATGGAGCAGCAGTGTCGGGGGAGCTCCAAAGAGCCGGCCCTGCCAGGCCAGGGCCTGGCTAGGCTAAGCCCCAGGCAAGGGCCTGGCTAGGCTGAGCCCCAGCCTGGCTGTGCAGCTGCGGGGCTGGAGGCGATGGGGGAAGAGGGACCTGCCTCGAAGGAAGAGGGGTCACAATGCTGTCTTCCCTTCCAGGAGATGGGAGAGACCTGAGGAGGAAATCTTCCAATGTGGTGGTGAGTTCTGCTCTGGGGCAATGGCAGCTCCCCTTGCAGAGCTGGGAGGAGATCCCCACTCCATCTGCTCCCCTCCGCTGTGGGTCAGGGTCACTGTCCTTCTCGAGAGGACACTGTGGTTCAGTGCCTGCTCCTCAAGACTGTCCAGAGGAGAGGTGAACAAGCCGCTTGGATACAGTCCCTTGGGCGGTGTTCCTGATCCCTCAGAGCCCTGCTGGGGTGGATGCCACCAAAGCAAACGAGAGCCCTGGAAGTGGTCCCCGAGCAGCAGCTTTACGGGGCTGTTGTGAGCCCTGCTGCCCCGGGAGCTGAGACTGCGAGATGCAGTTGGCTGAAGCTTGGCTCCTTCTCCCACCACAGGACTACATCCTGCTGCAGCTGGGGAGGTGTGCTCCGGGAGGCCTAGCCACCCAGGACAACCGGCGCAATGAGCAGGTCTCCCGGAATCAGCAGCAGGAGCTGCTTTCTGCAGAGCCGCCTTTGGGTCCCCACGTGACGGAGGTAGGTGAACGTCTCCGCTCCTTTATACCTAACGTAAGAGTCTGGTGTTCTGCTGTGCTGCCTCCCCTTTGTTCAAGCTGGTTTGATTGTGAACTTCGGGCTTGGATCAAGCTTTCCACATAGGTGGGATAGGTGAGGGGGCCTCAGGTGAGGCTCCCTTATCTGTGTTCTGGGACCAGCTGTTTTCTGGCTCTCTGTTAGGAATAGTAGTAGCCAAGACTGCAAAGCCTCCTGTTGCCTACAATTGCAGCTGGCTCCCGGGCATCCTGTGCAGATTCAGCACCTGAGACTGAGTAAATCCTGAGCTGGGTTCTCAGACTGCTCTCTAAAGCTGAGCTCTTCTCTCCATACTGGACATCCATGAACAAGCTTTCCCCTGCTTGTGGTGTGCGGGGACCCCAGTGCTATGAAGTGATGTTTGTTTTGAGAGCAGTGGTCTCCTGTGGAGGGTACACCCTTTCCAGGTCTCATCCTGCCTGCCCCGGGAGCCCTTGGAGAGTGGGGGACTCTCCAAACTCTTACTGGCACCTAGGGACAGCATCTGGCTCCTCGGCTGCAGACAGCATTTCTTGGTTCAGCTCCTCTTTCCAGACTAGATCTAGCGCTGGAGCTGCAGTGGTTGAAGTCCGTTGCTCTGAAAGGTGGTTGCGCTTCAACAGTTTCCTATGCAGGTGTTTGTGCGAGGTGCCTATTCTGGGTACTATAAATGGTGTTGTCTTTCCAGGCGGCGAAGCAAAACTCGTGTCCTGCTGGAAACGTGAGGAGGAAACTGGTTCCACTGTCAGAAGACCCCTACAAGGGTAAGTGTGGGGTGCAATGGGTTCAGAGGTGCTGAGGGCCTTGGGGGATGTGCCATGAGCCTGCAGACTTCCCGGGCTCAGGTGACTGCTGTGCCCTGGTCTCAGACCTCTTCCCTTCTTACTGTAGCTTTGCAACGCTCTTTTGACACCTTTTCTGAAGAAATAGACTGCAAGTACTGGAGAAAATATGGCAGAGCCCTTGATCTGCGGGACAACGACATTACTTTCGCAGAGAGGAAAGAAGGGTATTCACCAGAGGCCTTGGTCGAGATGCTCAGAACTTGGCTGCAAGAGCAGGGCATGAAGGCGTCTGTCAACGTGCTGCTGGAGACTCTGGACCAGATGAATCTTAGTGGGGCTGCAGAGCGCATCTCTTCCCTGCTTGTTCAGAAGGGCTTGTACAAGTATGAAGAAGTAAGCTGAAGTGTGGGACAGGCACTGGATCTTCCTGCTTCAATCTGCAACCAGAAATACCTCAAACAATTAAGTTGCAACTTTTCATAGGTCTCCTATCTTTTTCCTTATGAAAATGTTGAATAACTCAGCTTGAACCTGGAGGAGTTTTTGGAAATCACAAGCCTTGGGGCCCTCTCAGCTAACCTCAATATCAAGTACTGTTTTTATGACAATTCTTGAATTTCACTGGGAACAGTTTTAGGCTCCTTGCATTATACAAGGAGCCTGTGCACTTGTCTGTGAAGTACCAGTGCTTCCAAGAGACATCTTCAGGATTAATATAGAGAGGGTTTTTACATAATGTATGATCTACTGTGATTTTTTTTTAACTGGATTCTCCTACTCTCAAGGTTCCTGGCGTCTTGTAAGCGCTTTTGCTTATAGAGGCTCTCTAAGCTGGCCAGCAAACTTCGTGCTGTATGTTTGGCAGTCAAGCATTAATTGGATTCTTGTGTAGCTTTTCAAAAGCAATTGCCTGACTTGCACTGGTAGTAGTTCTGCTTGCTGGTAGGGATGATCTCGAGACTGGAGTTTCAAGGGGAGGATGGGAGTGATTTACTTGCTTTGTGATCCCTGTACTTGTCCAGGACAAGCATTCATGCAGGTAGGACATGAATTCTAGCTTGTTGGAGCACAAGCAGGAGTGTGGGCAGCCAACCCACACTGTCGCAACCCTCTGAGGTTCCTGTGTGACCCTAGTCAAGCTTCTTGGTCAAGTTTGGTCCTTGTTTCCTTGGCCGTGAAGCAGCCTGGCTGCTGCCTGTCTCCAGGGCCATGGAAGAACAAATGCACTGCCCGTGGCGGTGGGCACCATGCAGCTGCCTTGCACCTCAGGGCTTGCCCTTCCCAAACACTGCTCTTAGCTGCCCACGGCACAAAGCTCAGGGCCAACTTCTCTTGGCTGTGAAACCAAAGTACTTGAACTGGCTCCGTGTGGTGAGCCCAGCCTGCGCGGATCCCCCACCACGCCAAGGCCATCACAAGGGGCTGCGAGGGCTCAGCCTTGCTGGGCGCATGCCTTGGCCCTTCCTGCCCTCCCCACCAACTTCTGTCTGCTTGAAATCCTGGGCTATAATTGCCCAAGCAGGCAGGCAATTTGTATTTATGTTTTTATTTAGCATACACTAGTTTAAATAATACTCTAGCATTTTTTTATTTCTTTTTATAATGCATGTAATATTTATACGCGGATTTTAAATAAACTTTTAAAACAATCCTCCTGCTTTCTTGCGCCTCTTTCCCATGCTCTGCCCTAATGAGGCTCTCCCCTGGGCTTCAGCAGATCCAAAGTGAGCAGGACTGGGCCCTGGGCCTTGGATCAGCCTTGGATCACCCCAAGATGCCCTCAAGCTCTGCCAGGGCAGCCCTGGGCCACCTCCAGCCTCCACCACACACAGGACCACGCTGGGCTTTTAAAATATCCTTTATTACAACAGAGCCTCCTGGGCTGCAAGCCCAAGCTGGAGCTTTGCTTTTTTTTCCTTTTTTTTTTTTTTTTTTTTTCTTTCTTTAAGATTTCTTTAAAAAAAGAAAAGTGTCAGAGCAAGGGCAGCAGGGCGTCCCCCGCGGTGCCGCCCCAGCGCCGTGGGCGGGGGGCTCCTCGCAGCCCCCGGCGTGGGCGAGACGGGGCTGTGGGCACAGGCGGCTCCACGCGGCTCCAGTCCGGCCCCACGGGATGAGGCGGCCGCTCGCTCGCGTCCCCCGGGCACGAAACGGGCCCCGTCCTGCCCCTCCGGCCTCGGTGCCGGACCAGCCCAAGCCAAGAGGCGCGCGGGCGGCTGCGCCAGCCGGGCCGGCCCGCCGCGGAGCTGCGCCCGTCCGTGCCGTGCCGTCCCGCGGGCCCTCACACCACGGCCGACGAGGAGGACGACGAGGACGAGGAGGAGGAGGCGGCGGGCGCGGAGGGCCCGGCCGCGGCGGGCGCGTTCCAGAAGAGCCAGCGCCGCTTGGGCTGCCGCTTGAGGTGGAGGTAGTCTTCCTTCTCGCGCTCCTTGCGCGCTCGCTGGTAGTGGTCCTCCTCCTTCAGGTACCAGACGGGGGGCCAGCGGTGCTTCTCGAAGTACTCCTGGTTCTCTGCAGGGCAAGGAGGCGTGAGGGCGGCGCGGGGCGGCAGCCGGGGCCGCGGCGCGCGGCGGCACGGCACTCACCTCCCGACATGGCCTTCATGTCGCGGGGGAACTTGCGGCACACGTTGTTGTAGTTGGTGCAGATGTGGTGGAGGCACCAGTCAGCGAGCTGGTACGCGCAGTGGAACTGCGGGGACGGAGCCCGTGAGGCGCAGCGCGGCGGGATGGGGCGTCGCGCACCCCGCGTCCGCTGCCAGCCCTACCTGGGCCAGCTCCAGGAACACCAGCACGTCCCCGTCGATGTCCACCATCATCTGCGCCGCCTCCATCAGCCCGGTGACTGTGTACTGCTCTGTGGAGCACGCGCGTGCACACAGGTTAGGGCACCGTGGGCCTCTTTGGGGGCTCCCACCATGGTTCCGAGGACACAGGACATCACCAAATCACAAAGGGTTGAGGTTGGAAGGGACCTCTAGCAACCATCCAGTCCATCCCCTGCTCCAGTAGGGACACCCAGAGCATGTGGCACAGGGTTTGGAGGGTTTGGAGACCTCCAGAGAAGGAGACTCCCCAGCCTCCCTGGGCAGCCTGTGCCAGGGCTCGGGCACCCTCCCACCAAAGAGGTTCTTGGGACACGTCCCAAGGCCAGTGGCCATGGGAGCACCAAGCTCCGGCCAAGGGCCAGCAGGGCTTGGGCTGGAGGACACCCCAGCTGACCACATCTGGACCCCTTTCCCCCAGCAGCATCCCCGTCCCGGGGGGAACCGTGGCCCCCCTCACCAGTGAGGGCCACGAGGTGCGGCAGGCAGAGGCGGTTGGCCAGGATGATGAGCTTCATGTCGTCCAGGTCGGGGCTGGAGCTGAACTGGCCCGTGTACAGGTACTCGAGCACGGCGCGCATGCAGCTCTTGCTGGTGTGGGGCAGGGCCACCTGTGGGAGCGCGGCAGCGTCAGCGGCGGCCGCGCGGCCCCGTCCCCGCGCGCCCGCGCCGCTCACCTCGCTCGTGGAGCTCTCCACGAAGGGGCCGCCGAACATGGCCGCCATCCAGTCGCAGCTGGAGATGAGCAGCGGCTTGTGCGCGCTGATGGCCCCGTCGTCCAGCACGAAGGTGATGTCTGCGGGCGGCACGGCGGGGCTAGCGGCCCGGCCCGGCGCCCGCCCCGCCGCGGAGGCCCCCGCCATGGCCTCCTCTGCTCCCCTCCGTCGCCGCGGCTCCCTCCCCAGCACTTGGACGCTGGCTTTTGGAGGCCCGGCCTTAGGAGTGGCCCAGGGGAGGTCAGCCCAGCCTAGTGCCACGCGAGGCGGGCGGCAGGCAGCAGCCGCCCTGCTCTCGGGCTCTGCCCCATAGGTTTCCCCCGAGCCCTCTTTGCCATGCGGAGGCAGCCGGAGCGAGGCTGAGACACGCCGGTGCCGCCGGGAGGCTGCCCGGAGCGCACAGGGTCTCTGGGAGGCCGGGGGAGGCCGGAGCACGCGGCCCCGCGGGAGGCAGGCTGCCCTGCCACCCTCTGCGCAACTAGAGCCATCCAACGGGCTGCAGAGGCCCTAGGGAACGGGGACACGCGGCCACGCTTTGGGGTGAAAACGGAAAGGAGCTGCCAAAATCCCACTAATGGACGTGGCTGGGAGCTTGGCGCCCGTGTGGGGAGGTCCCAGGGGGCAGCGAGCAGCACTGCCATCAAACGGGCCATCTCCATGAGGATCAACGCCCTCATGGCCATCTCCACAGGGATCAAGACCCTCCCTGCCGCGGGGCGCGGGGCCGACGGGCTGCAGCGTACCGGAGAAGGTCCCCTTGGCCAGGCACTCCTTCACCCGGTTGGTCCTCCGCACGTGGAAGGCTTTGGTGATCTCCTGGTTCATGAACGCCTCGTTGTTGAGGATGTTGGCCACCATCATGCGCAGGTCGAAGACCTCCAGCAGCTCAGCGATGTGAGCGATGTGCATGAGGTCCCGCTCCTTCTCGTCCAGCTCCCCCGTGTACAGGTACTTGAGCACGGCGCGGAAGGGACCCGGCTGGATGGAAGCGTCCATCTTTACCACCACCATGAGCTTGGACTTGTAGGTCAGGGGGTCTTCCGCCATCTCCTCCTGGATGCTCATGAAGGCCCGGCTCCAAGAGGAGAGGTCCCTTCCCCGGCGCAGCCCACACTCCCCGTTCTCATACCTGTTGCCCCGCAGGATGCCGTCACTGGTGGAGGCTCTAAGGCACGGTTGTCGCTGGCCGGAGCCGGCCTCCTCGGCACTCTCACAGATGTCAAAGCTAGCAGCGCGGAGGAGGAAATCCCGCGCGTGGTGCCTCTCCTCCTGGTGCAGCACCCGCTCGGCGGCCGCGGCGGCGGCGCTCCCAAAGCTGTGCCCTGCCACGCTCTGCTGGTCCTCCTCGCTCAGGTCCATGAGGAACAGGTCGTAAAACTTGGAGGAGGAGGTGGAGAGGTAGATCTTGTGTGCGTAGATTTTGATCTTCTCTTGCAGCACCAGGATGACATCTGCGCACAGAGGGTCCTCCAGGAGGTGGGCCGGGTGCTCCTCGTTGTTGGAAGGAGGGTCTGGGACGATGATGATGGGTGGAGGAGGCTTGGGGGGCAGGAAGGGGGCTTGCAGCAGGGGCCGCTGCACGTTGCGGAGGTGGGACTTCCAGAACTGCAGGTGCCGACGAGAGATGAGCGCGGCGCGGATGGCGTTGTCAAAGACGTCCTTGATGCCAAACTGGGCCACCACGCTGGTCTCGTAGTAGGGGATCCCCAGCTCCTTGGCCACCTCCCTCCCCTTCTCTGGGGGCAGGATCTCATTGGGTTTGATGGGCCTGCAAAGAGGAGACCGCCTTGAATGCTGAGACCTCGTGGCACGGCCACCACGAGCCCTCTTGCAGGGCACGGGATGAAGGGAGCACTGGGCAGGTATCAGCACCTCTGGGGACCGCAGGCATCATAACTCCATCCACCCCCAACCCTGCTGCTGCTTTGTCCCCGGCGCCACGTCCTTACCTGGCCAGGGGCCGCCGGGCCCTGTTCACGGCCTCCAGGTCGGCATAGCGCAGGTCAAGCTGGCAGCCCACCAGGATGACCGGGGCACGAGGACAGAAGTGCTTGATCTCCGGGTACCACATGGTCTTCACATGGTGCAGGGAGTTGGGGTTGGCGATGGAGAAGCACAAGACCACGACGTCCGACCTGAGAGGAGCTGGAGCTGAGGTCCAGTTCAGGGCTGTTCCCCGAGCTGTCCCCAGTGTCCCCAGTGCCCGACCCCATCTATTCCACCTCCGCCTCTTCCTACCTCCCGTAGGCGAAGCGGCGGTCCTTGTGGTGGTCTCCAAAGGTGTCCCAGAGCCGCAGGGACACACTAACATCATCTACCACGTCCCGGGAGCGTTCCAGCACCTGTGCGAAGACAAACACCACCCTGCTCCCGAGTCCAGTCGCAGCAGCCCAGCTTTGCCAGGCGGGACATCCAGCACTTGCTCTCCCGCCCAGGAGCCATTCCCAGTCTCCTCCCCAGGCCCAGCGCCCCCAGCACCCCCACTTTGGAGCATTCCCTACCTCCTGGCAAACGCGGTACTGGTCGATGGCCCAGACCGTGGGCACGTGGGTGGCGAGGAGCTGGTACTGGGTCAAGGTGGCGTTGCAGGCGCGGGCACAGATGAGCCGCGTTTTGCCCACCGCGTTGTCCCCGACCACAACGCACTTGATAGTTTCTACGTTTGGCCTCTCATAATCCATGTCAGAATCCATTAATTGGGACCTGCCGAAGGAGGGGGTCAGGAGCGGTGGGCAGGCACGAGCCAGGAGCGGGTGCTCGGGGCGTGCGGGCAGCTCCGTGGCACATGGAGCTCCCAGCTCTTCCCGGCGCAGGCTCCAGGCGAGCACCTTTAAACTTTAATGTTCCTGGGGAAGCGCGGGTGCCACGTGGTGCGCTCCGACCTCCCCACCCGCCACTCAGCCCCAGCTCGTGCTCATCCACGTGAGACAGCCTCATTCCCCTCCGCCTTCCCCGGGTGCCGGGAGAAGCTTCCAGATCCCGTGTCCGTGCGCGGGCACCTCCTGGGCCCGAGGCTCGCCCAGGCACCCCGAGGCCCTCGGGACAGCAGCTCTGTGGGCTCATGGCCCCCATTGCTTTTGCATTGCGGGGGGACTCGGGAGATTTCCCGGAGCCAGAGGAGGGAGGAGACAGCGGGAAGCGGAGAGGAATTATGAAAACCCCAGCCCAATTGCTGTGAACTTCCCAAAGCAGCCGCTCGCTCTCCCCACCGCCCCCCTCCCGCGCTGCTATAATAAACCACCAGCGCAAAGGCGCCGTGTGCGAAAATATCCAGTAACGATGGCAACGGGGACCTGCACGCGGGGACCACGGCTGCGGCGGGAAGGAGCGCAAGGACTTTCCAATGTTAGCGCCTCCCTCCTGTGCACGAGCTCCCGGGCACACCTGGCTGCCAAGCGGGCTCCGGCATGCGGGCGCGCTCCGTGCCGGATGGTGGTCGCACAAAGCTAGCCCGCTCCCAGCGCCGGTCCAGCACAGGGGGCCTTGCAATTGCCAGGCCACCGTCGCTGCGCCCTGTGGCCTCCACAGTCCTGGGGACACTGCCGAGCGCCAGGGCCCCCGGCCGCCGCGCAGAGGTGCCGGAAGAGGCCGCTTCCATCCCAGGAGGCTCATTCTATCCCAAGCATCCCCTGCGTTCCCGGCTGTCCCACTCCAACTCCTCCCATGGCCCAGGCTGCGCTCTGCTCTGCGGGGCTGCTGCGGGAGCTGTTATTTTTAGGGGCATCCATGCTCGGAGTTCGGCACGCTCGGAGCTCCCCGCTGAGCTCGCTGGGAGCAGGGACATCCGCCCCACGCCGGGAGTCCGGCCTGGGCCCCGGAAGCCTGCTCGGAGAGCACGGGGCCACCAGGGAATTAAGAGCTAAATCCTAATAGGATCAGGGTGCCCGTGGCCAGTGGGGGGGGAGGGAGGCAGAGGGGGAAGGAGCGGGCACAAAAACGCAGCCTGCAACAAAAGCAGAAGCAGCGGAGGGGGAAGCGGGGCGGCAGGCAGCCTGCCCTGCGCCAACGGTCACCCCGGGCCCCCCAGGCTTGGAAGGGGACGAGCTGGGCGCCGCGGCCCCACGGTGCTGTGACCCTTCCGGGCTGGATATGGGGGGGCTCCTGCTGCGGCTGCCACCCCCTGCAAGGCTTTGGGCTGGGCAGCCCCCAACCTGGCGGCTCCACTCAAGTCACCAGGCGCCCCCCCCACCCAGGGGACCCCCCTCCCCATCGTTATTTTAGGAATGGGCTGCAGTTGCCATGGCAACTGCACAATCACCCCAGGACCGTTTCCTAGCAACGGCGGGCTGAAAACCCCGCATCTCCCGCTGAGGGGAGGGTGTCCAGGAAGCGGGGGGGCACCCAAATAGCGCAGCAGCTCCTGTGCGCACGGCAGCCGCGCGGCCGGGGGGTGCAGGGGGAAAGCGGGGCCCGTACCGCCCCTGCCCGCGCGTTGCGGGGGGAGCACCGAGCACCGCGGCCCGGTGCAGGGAGCCCCGGCGGGGCTCGCAATGAGCGGGGCTGCTAGGGGGCTCGGAGCGCCCAGGTCGGGGGGCGGCATCGCAAGGGGGCCGGGGAGCCGCGAGGCCGTGGTGAGGGGCATCACAAAGGGGCCGGAGGCGCTCGGAGACCCCAGGCCCGGGCGCCGCCAGGAGAGCGGCGAGCAGAGAGGCCCGGAGCATCGCAAGAGGAGCGGGGATCGAGGGAACCTGGCGTGGAGCAGGGTCAGGGGCTCGGGGACACGGGGACCGGGCGCGGGGGAGCCCCGCGAAGGGGCGGCGCCGCGCGGGGCCGGGGCAGGATGCGCGGAGGCGGAGCGGCGCCCGCGGTACTTACAGCCACGGAGACGAAGCGGCGGCTCCCAGGGGCCGGGGCCGGGGCCGGGCTCGCCCCTGCGG